TATACAGACTTACTACTATATGTTTTTACTATCCAGGATCTTGCCTTTTGTGACACCACTCTCCTCAGTTCCCTTCTACATCCCTCATCATACCTCTTCCTCTTTACACAGGAAGAGTTCATGGTTCATCATTGCAAGGACTCCCCGGCCTCTCACTCATACATTGTTCAGCTGGTTTCCTAGAATTCTCAACATTACTTTACTGGATTGGATTCATGTCTTCCTCTTATTTGGTTTATTTCTTCATTTTGCTGAGCTGCAGCTTGGTGCTTGGTATAGATTTGCAGCCTATAGAAGTAGAGGAACTTGACTAGTGAGATATTTAGCTGAATATCTTTAATTACCCCTTGGTTCTTCCATGCCTTTTGTATTTGTCAACTCTGAACACAACACCTCTGTATCTATAGTTCTCATTATAACATCCAATAAAAATGAGTCACTAAAAAAAAATTTGGCTCATTATATTTTGTGTAAAGGAGTAGTATAAATGTTTTCAAATATTTTCAACAAAAAAACAATAAATAGGAGTGCAAAAATTTAAAAAGGTATTAATAAATGTAGATATTTAGAATGACATTTCTAGAAAATATAGTGAGTTAAGATTCTCCGTATGGTGTTCAGATAATAGAAATTTATCATCACTGATTCAGTCTTGATAGACCAACAAGAATAAACTAACATCTAAAAGACAAAAAAGTCAAAGGAAACCCAAGGAAAGGTTAAAGAATGCTTATGTGCTAACATGTTTAATATGGAAAAAATAAGATAATACTAATTTCTGCCTCGCCTTCCTGTGCTTTGATCCTATAAGTTTTTACCCTACATGCACCTTTTCAGTTTCTGAACTAGTCATGTTTAAGCCTGGCAATATAATCAAAGCTCCATTCTTATCAGTAGGTAGGAATAGTTAACTCAAAGGTCATGAGATTTTAACTAATCAGTACAAGTAAATACATAATTCTAAGTTGATTTTAAAAATAAAATAAATTATCAAGTGTACCAAAATCAAGAAATTCTCATGAACTGTGAAAATTTGCAAAATCTACATGTAGTGGAATTAAAGTTTTCCTAGCACTATAACTAGAAAACGCAAAATAATAAGTAATAGCTTTAAATTTTAGGTAAAATTCCTGTGATAGTCTTTTCAAAAATTCAAATACCATGAGAAAAACATAAAAGCAAAATCCAGGCCTGGTGCCTGTGGCTCAAGCAGCTAAGGCACCACCCACCTGAGCTGGCGGGTTCAAATCTAGCCTGGGCCCGTCAAACAACAATGATGGCTACAGCCAAAAAATAGCCGGGCGTTATGGCAGGCGCCTATAATCCCACCCACTAGGGAGGCAGAGGCAGGCGAATTGCTTGAGTACAGGAGTTGGAGGTAGCTGTGAGCTGTGATGCCACAGCACTCTATCCGGGTGATGGCTTGAGGCTCTGTCTCAAAAAAAAAAAAAAATCCACTGGATATTTGATAAAATATCTGAGCAGTACTCCTCAAAAGTACTGGAGAGAAAAAAAAGAAAAGACTAAAAAGCTGCCACAGACGGTCAAGACTAGAAGACAGGTACAATGTAGGGGAATATGAAACACTACCTGGTGAAGGACTCAATTGCAAGTCAGACTCAACCTTACAAACACAAACAATGTAACCCAAGTATGTGCCCTTCTATTAATCTGAAATTTAAAAAACAATGCAAAAAAAAAAACCCAACAAAGTACAATAGATACTTGGAATGGATCATGGAACAAAAGGACATTAATGAAAACTGGTGAAATCTGAGTACCACCTAAAGTTAATGGTAATGTACCAATTTTGGTTCTTAATTTTAACAAATCTACCATGGTACCGTAGATGGCAAAATCAGGGAAACTGAAACTGGGTGAGGAATATATGAGAACTCACTACACATAGTACTATACTATTGTTGAAACTTCTCTATGATAGAAAACTGTTCCAAAATTAAAAGTTTATTTAAAAGAAAAAGTAAAAAAAGTTTCCCCTCCCAAATACAAAATAATAATTAAAAAATTAAGTACACGTCATTATAACATTAAAATTAAAATGAATACTGATTAGGTCAGAAGATTTGCAAATAAACACATTAAAATAATTAAATAAATAAAAACTGCTTTCCCATTAAAACATAACCATAAATATAGTACAGTGGTGGATAATATCCATTTATACATAAAGACTTGTTGGCAAATATGACCAAATGTTGACTGATTTCTTTATTTACTTACTGTTTTATACCATGAAATGAAGTAGGGAGAGGAAAAAGAGGAAGAGGGAAGGAGTGGCAGTCTATATTTAATAATGTTCTTTGTACTTATTTTTAGCTAACTTGAATAAATGATAAAAAATTAAATATTTGAATTTATACTATGGTTGTTTCTAAGCACATAAAAATAGTTTCAGCTGTCTCTTCAACAATATAATGAACGATTTAAGATTGAATAATGCACTTGGAAGGAAACCACCGTAAATGTTTTATAAATTTAAGGACCTTCTCCAATTGAAACCTGAAGAATAATGTCAGACTTCTATACCTAGATAAGATGGAATCATTCAGGAAAGGTAAGAAAAATACAAAAGTCATCTGTTTAAAGGTATCAGAGGGCTGTTGCTATAATAATGACTTGAGTAGCTGTAATTCTGAAGAGGAGTTAACTGGAGAGGGGTAATTTGAAGATCTGCAGTTATTTTCTCCCTTGAGCATTTTAAAAGTTCCACATATGAGGAAGGGGCTGAGAAATCAGGCTTTAACTAGAAAGAGAACTGTTAGAGGACAAAGCAACTACCCCAACTTTTGGCAGTTATGCAGGGCTGAAGTAACAAAATTGGAGATTTGAGACTTATTTCCACTCCCAAATCATTGGCAAATTTTGAATCTTTGTAGGACTTAAAGTTAAAAAACTAAGCTCTCTGGCTCTGAAAAACAGTGGAGTTTTCCGCAATTTTACAATGGAATACAGGATCTGCCAGGCATAAAGCCCTTGTGAATATTCATCTCTGTTTGGGAGGCCTCACCCAAAGTAGAAGGGGAAACATAACTAGTTGAGACTTATGAAAAACTTCTACACAGCCTTCACGGGAGACAGCAAAGCATTTTGGAGAGCAATAAACCAATGGGAAACATTTTATGAGGAAAAGAAACAAATGGTTAAGTAATAACCTTGAGAACGTCAGAAAAAATTTGAACAAGTACAGAAATACATATATTTTCTTTAAACAGAAGCATGTAGTTAGAAAAAAGCAGAGTAGAAAAGCCAGAGTATATGGGCAAAAATGCAGGTAGGGTGGGAGGTGAAATGATTGGGGACAGGCAGAAGTTCTCTTTTTCATGGAAGGGAAAGGTTGTATATCTAAGAAGAAAGGAAAAGAGATAAAACAGTCGTCTAGAGGATAGAGTGAATATATTAACAAGGCAAGAAGACTGGCACGCAACACCTAAAAGACCACCTGATTGAAGGCAAAGGTCATGAATTCAAGGTAAGCTACTTCAGAAAATGTGTTTTTTTTTTTTTT